CAAGAGTAGTGTTATCAGTCAGGAGAAGGAGGTGGATTTAATTCTATCGTAAGCTCATTTTGTTATTTTTATGATTTGGAGGTTGAAAGTACTGAATGTTTTTACACATTTTTAAAATGTGTAAAAACCAGCCATCTGAGTTAAAGGGAAGTTATCTTTTGTTTAACCCACAACATCTGGCCCTGGATTCTTTATTTTTTTATAGTAAAATTTTGTGGGATTTCATGTCACATGATTAAAGCTTTGTTTGCAAAAATCACGTGACCTGGCCGGTTTGATACGCGCTCCGAGACACTGATTCGAAACAAAAGATTCGCGAATGTTTCGAAGCGTCGTGAAGCAGTGTTTCGAACGCGCCCATCACTACCTACATTCAAGTGTTGATAAAAAAGAATGCTTGAAGCTAGAATACAACTTTTTTTTTTAAGTAGATCTCTTCTTTATTTTGGTGTATTGCACAGTGAGATATTCATACAACAAAATATTCTGGGGACAATGAAATTTTAGTGAAAATCATCAAAAATGCTGGAGGTAGCTGGCGACTTCAAAAACGTTGGCGGGGAAAGAGTTCAAGTCATTTTATTACCCTACTGGGAGAAAATACTTAGACTAGCCTTAGTCTTAGCTGGTCTCCCAGCCTGGCCAGCATGGTTTGGGTTGTTTTTTTCAACAGGGGAAGAATAAATTACATGTGAAAAATTGTACACTGAGCATGTAAACTGACCTGCTGGCAACTGTTGTGTGTGAATTTAAGGAGTAGCAGTCAGTTTTGGCAAGCTGAGCAGGAGGTCGTCCAGTAGAGCACGTGCTGCTGTCAGTTCGGCCGTAGTTAGCGCTGTGAATGTGTATGACAGTCCCATGCTCTGAAAACATCAATTCAATATTTTACAGTCTCTGGGATGCAAAAAAAAGTCATCATATAATACAATTTTGGGGATTTTGGCAAACTCTGTAATGCATTAACTGAAATGTTAAAAATAAGCAACAATCAATTAAGAACAGAATACACACCACAGGTCAGGGCACTCGTCTCATGTTCACAGACCAAACTTGAACCTACAGTAAACAGAGTGATAATTTAAAGCAGTTTAAAAAATTTAAATATAAAATAAATGTGAAGCAGGCTTAGTGAGTAATGGTTTATTTATATGTGCTTTGCCTTATGAAAAAGAGCTGTGCATAATTGTATCGAATGTACACTTGTAGTATTTACTTGTAGTGTAAAAAGAGTAATTTAAATCTTAAAAGTGTATTTAAAAACCGTATTTGTAGATAATATAATATTAATAAAATATAAGGCCACTTAACACTCTCTTAATACTCTCATGACTGTTTCTTAACACAAGTATACATTTCATAAGTGCACTTTGTAATGTCAAATTATTTTTGTTGTAAAAGTACATTTTATATCATTTTGGAAAGTCCACCCAATTGGCCCAACAAATGGTGGCTGAAGGTTTCCTGCATGTTTGGTCTTTTCGATAAGCAAAGTAATTTCAATTAAACTCTAATCTCTAACTCTAACCTTGAATTTTCTCCAGGTATGGAGAAAATCTCTGATCATGACCTATATATACCTATAGGTCTCCTAGCCTGGCCAGCATGGTTTGGGTTGTTTTTTCAACGGAAAGACTAAATTACATGTGAAAATTTGTACATTGAGCATGTAAACTGACGTGCTAGCGACTACTGTGTGTGAAAACTGGGCATCATGCACTAAACGACTGAAGATCACACACTACCAGACTTTAAATTCCTTCCAATCACAACAAACTCACAGAAATGTGTGCACTGTTGCTAAGAGACGCGTGACAAATTAAAATAATGTATGTTTTAAAATCTAAGCCGACCAACATTACTTTCTCTGATAGTAGTTTGAGACATTTCAAGTGATACAAAAAGGAGTTAGGGTTAATTTGAATCAATAATGAAATCTATGGCAAAAAAATGTTTGTCAACGAGCTTTTTTCCAATGACTAAAATGAGACAATGACAAGATGACAATATGGTCATTAAACGATAACTGTGACTGTATCAACATGCAATATCGTTGATGATAAAATACATAACTAAAATGTATTTTTGTTTGCAATTGCCAGATATCAAGGGCCCTATTTTAACGATCTAAGAGCATGGTCTAAAGCACATGGCGCAGGTGCATTTAAGGCGTGTCCGGATTCAAGAGAGAATCGCGATGCCTTCCGAAAATCTCAGAATCTATGCAGAATCATTTCTTGATTCACGATGCATCGATTTATTTTCCTAGCCCTAATATACACACACACACATATATATATATATATATATATACAGTATATATAGCCTGTGTGTGTGTGTGTTAGTATAATAAATAGCCTACAATAAATCAGTACACTACATGAGGCAAAACAAACCATGTGTATGAGTTGTTGGCATTTTGTTGCTTATTGGTGAAAGTGCAATACTTCTAATGAAATGTAAAAATTTATTTCTCAAATGACAACAATCACTGCGATTATAATTTTGAGCAAAATTTGTATCAGATTAACCATTATACAACATGACGAAAATGTGACTTAAGTTTTCATTAAAACTAGACTTTAATTCTCAGACATTTCTTCAACTAATACTTGACTAAACAAAAACAGGACCAAGTTGACTAAATGTGATAAAAACTAAAAAGTATATTTGACACAGGACTAAGACTACAGACTAAATAAAAAAATAGCTGACAAAATGAACACTATATCACTGGCATTCATGTGGAACAATATATTTAGCAATTTACAATTCTGAGTGAACTAAGTGAAGGAAAGGATGGGCAAATGGAAGGAAATGGTGGAGAAGGAACAAATGTGAAGGAAGGACAGGTGAGAAAGAAGGACTCCCACATCTTCACTCAGTGAGATGTGGAAATAGATGTCTGTATGTTAATACACTGATTGTATTGTCCGAATTTCAGGAGATCAAAGTGTCTGAGGTTCTTCCACCCTTAAAACTTTAATCATATTTCAAAGACAACCGAAGTAATTATGCAGTTACATGATGTACTTACATCCTACTTAAGTGGTTCAAAAAAGCACTCTTAAGTTCTACTAATTGAATTTCAAATAAATGTATACATTTTCATTTGATTGAAATTAGCATGGAATTAAATGTCCAAAAACATTACATTAAGTTCCCAGTATATTCTTTTAAAGTATATTATAACCACAATAAGTACTCTTTTAAAAAATATGCTAAAGTGTACTTTTTTGTTTCGGAAGGGTTGCTTGCAGGGGAGAAAAAACTTTTGAACTTTGACTAATGTGTTTCAAAAGTCTCTTGAATCTCAATATTCTAAACACACTTCCTGAAAATAACAGAATGAATGTAGTATCAAACAGGATGATAAATACTCACGAATTCCATGCGGGAGGCAAAAATAAGAGATTGCAAGATACTTGTATGTGCCAAAGCAGGGATCAGTGAAGATCATATGCGTTGCATACACCTCACACCTTTCCCGGCCATTGCAGCTTTACATGTCAAAAAAAAGGAAGACTTACATTAATCATTGCATCTTTATCCCAGCGAACAAAAATGTGTTATAGGAACATTATTAAGCATTGTTTCTGAATGCTCTCTGAATGTTTTAAAAACATTTTCTTAGTTATGCAAAAGTTAAAGAAAACATTAAGAGACTGTTCCATTTTATCATGGGAATGTGACTATTGAACGTTCTCTAAACAAGTAATAAGTAGTAATGTTTTAAAAAGGTTAGACTAATGTCCTACTAAAACATTTTAGAAAAAACATTCCATGGACATTTTATAAATGTGTTTTTAATGCAATAGGCTATTTTGAAAATGTTATTAAAGACTAGACAACTTCAAACATTCTACTGGAAGAATGTTTGTTAACTGAGAGAACCTTACAGAAAATTCCCTGTTAGCTGCAGACGGTATTTAAAGAAGATCATGAACTTTAAAACAATTAATTTATCTACCTTTTCGACACAAAATTCAGTGCATTGGGTGAAAAGCAGTTGGTGTTTTGAAGCTGTTTAGATGGACGTCCTTGAGAGCAGGTGATTTTATCTGTACGTCCATAGTTTGCAGTATTTATCTGAATCTTACCATTTTCTACATGGGGATAAAACAATTGTATTTCTTAAATGAATCCATGTGATCTGATTTCTTGAAACAAAGTAAGAGATATGGAAAAATCACTCACTACATTTCAAATAACCGTATCCACCATGACAAGTCACACTTGTTTCTGGAAGATGATGGAGGATATAAGACAGTTATACAGAGAAGGAAATGATAAAGAACTGGAATTGGAGGAAGAGAGAGAACAAGTCCAAACCTGCTGGGATGCAAATGTAGTTGGTAGTGTAGTACTTGTAGGTGCCAAAACATGGATCTGGTGTGGAGAGTCCTTGAGTGTTTAACCCACACGTTCTCAGTCCATCACACCTGTTTAAAGATAAAGACATATGCAAGTAAACCAGTGCTGCCAGTATTAGGTCTGAGTATGATTCAGTGGGCTATATAACACTTTGAATTGTCAAGAACAGTTTTGGTTCAATATACTTACCTGTTGATCTAAAATAGCCTTAAACCTATACACTTTTTTTTATTTGTTATTTTTATTTAGTAACTTTCAAGAGGGTGTACTCATTTTTGCAACACAAAATGTTATCACTTTGATAAGAAAATCTTATTTTGCTGAATAATTTTAGCATTCTTCTTTGGTAATTGGTGCAAACCTGCTGGGATGCAAATGTAGTTGGTAGTGTAGTACTTGTAGGTGCCAAAACATGGATCTGGTGTGGAGAGTCCTTGAGTGTTTAACCCACACGTTCTCAGTCCATCACACCTGTTTAAAGATAAAGACATATGCAAGTAAACCAGTGCTGCCAGTATTAGGTCTGAGTATGATTCAGTGGGCTATATAACACTTTGAATTGTCAAGAACAGTTTTGGTTCAATATACTTACCTGTTGATCTAAAATAGCCTTAAACCTATACACTTTTTTTTATTTGTTATTTTTATTTAGTAACTTTCAAGAGGGTGTACTCATTTTTGCAACACAAAATGTTATCACTTTGATAAGAAAATCTTATTTTGCTGAATAATTTTGGCATTTATCTTTCGTAATTGATCAAGCAGGCTTGTTGGAACATTACATCTCCAAAGAACCCTAACATGTCTTCTAAGTAAAGAGTAATTGCTGAATTTGTTAAGTTTTAGAGGGGGTGTACTCATTTATGCTGTGCACTGTATTTCCTCTTACCGTTTATAGATCACAGGGACATTTATTGAACACCAAGTATTAGATATTTGACTTTGTGGTCGTCCAAAGCTGCAAATTTGGCTGCTTGTGCGGCCATATGTTGCTGATTGTACACTGATCACACCAGTATCTGAACAGAAGAAAAATATCATTTGACAATGGATTACTGTTTACAACAATAACAATAGTATATATAAATAAATAACTTTAGACACAACAACATCTTACCACAACTGAGATGCTGTACAAAGCCATCACATGTAACTACAGTCTCTGAAAAATGAAAGAGTGCAGCTTCAAGATATTATTTGTCATTTGTAACAAGGTGTGATTGACAAACTATAAGGATAAAAACAATAAACTCAAAATAGGAAAATACTAAATCTGTCAGATTTACATATAAGGCTGTCCAATAAGAAGAAAAAAAGAAGAAAAAAAAAACACTAGTTCAAAACACATACAAAGTTCTTACAAATGTACTTATTGTATTTATGGTGGTTTAATGTACTCTTTTATTATAAAACTCCGGAATTGTTCATTCATAAATATCATTATGTTTTGGGGGAGTTGCACCGCATGACATATATAACCTGAACTAACCTAATAATGTAAATAAGAATAATAAAAACATACAGTAGTGACATATTCACCACAACCCACCCAACTAAACAACAACTATATGAAATTTAAAGCTGGACAATTCAGTCAAGTAATCTTTGCTTAACTGCTGATTGTTGATGTGGTTCATGGATAATGAAATACCTGCAGATATCAGCAATCTGGAGTTCAGAAGCACCACTGTAAGACAACAACAGAAGATAAATGATTAACATCCCTGTGCAATGCTAATCTTAAAGTCATTCAAACTGTTCTCAACCCTAAATTTAACCCAAATGTCTAAAAGTGCAACTATACAATAGTGTCCACTGTGCGTCTGATTTTGCAATTTAATCAGATGAAAGAAACTTACAGGTAAGCAGGAGGACACTGAGAGAGAACATGGTTCTGCTGTCACAGTCAAAGGTGTGGATGTAGCCTCTGATGAGCTGATCCATATTTATACAGTCTGTTTTCTGATTATTCAATCAGATAAGAATCTTAAACTCTTAAACTTATTTGGAAAGTAAAGACATCTGTGTAAAAAATGTGATGTTGAGCAAACACTTATTATAATAGGAACTTACTTGATCATTTCTCAATAGCGCAAATATTTTCACATCACATATTTCACAGTGCATATTTTTTCCATTAAATTAAACTCACCTGAAAGTAAATGAGGCAATTACATATAAGATTTTATAGAGTCTGTCCCTCCAACAGAGATGAAGTCGGGTCTTGAATCTTGTACAAACTCCCGTTCTGGATGTTGATGCAGAGGCCAATTTTCACGTGTTCCACCAAGATTGGTTTACAGCGATTGACCTGAAGGATGCATACTTCACATCTCAATTTTGCCTCAACACAGATGCCCTGGGGTGCGTTTCCCAAAAGCAACTATGGTCACAAGTTCCGTCATTACCAGTAGAGTTCAATGGAACTTATACGACCATAGCTAACAATGCTTTTGGGAAACACACCCTGGACTGCACCTGGAGCTTAGGAGCTCCGATCAGCTCTTGTTTTCATTGGAGGTCAGTAGAAGGTAAAGGCTGTCTCCAAGTAGAGGATGGCTGTACCAAAAACAGAAACAAAATGATGCTCACTCTTTTTTTGTTGTTGTTGTAAAAAAAAAAAAAACAGCAGCAGTGACCCTCTTTGCGGTGAGTGTTTTTTCAATCCCGTTTTCGGTATGAAAGACTATCTGGCTCACACGGAGTGCTGGATAGATTGCGACTTGGGATGTCAGTTGTTACTTGGCATGCGAGAGCTTTCCAACACCTGTGTCCCCAACTCGCATTGACACATTTCAGCGGTTGTGGCACTTTCCATAGGGATCCCATGCGTCAGTATGTCAACATAATGTTGAACGTGACTGACTGAAAGGGAATGTCTCGATTACGTATGGAACCCTCATCTGCCACAACCTTGAACTACCCCACTGAATGGTTGAGACATGGTCTTGGCTCCTCAGCACAAACTTGAATGAGTGGATGCATGCCGCCATCTGAGGGTGTTTTCACACTAGTTCGTTTGAGCCTTCCAAACACTCTCAGAGCGGTTCAGCTCATATGTGAACAAGCAAAGTTGACCCAAAAGTGAACCATACTCATTTGTGGTTCAATTTCCTCTTGATTTGTGAAAGCAATTTGGTCCCAGTTTGTATGGACCAACATAACAGCTTGAAGTTGACCTAAGCAGTTTACTATTTGTATAGGTTTCTTTTTTGTAAAGCCTATATGTATAGTTTATGTATATATATTACTATATGTATAGTTTATGATTATTATTATATTATTTACAGATATAGGCCTAAATATTTCAGTCTCGTTACATTTATCAAACAAACAAACTGTTAACTTTAACAATACAAAACAATTCTGTTGTCATTGATGTAATCTACGGCTAGCTGTGCATTCAATGATAGAACCACCCGATGCGCAGCGGAGATCTAGCATTCTTTTTTATACTACTCCATGGTGATTGGGGCTCCCAAATGAGACCCCATACGTCAGTATATCTATGTAACATCTCCATTTCCTGATACGTAACCGAGACATTGTAGCTCTGGTAAGCTGATCAGTATCCATACAGTCTTTTGTCTGATCTGTCATTCAGATTTTATAAAGCACCTTTGGTTTTCCCCATATATTCTTAAATTCATTTAATACAGAATGTTCTTGTAGAATGTACATGAATTGAATAAAGAGAATCCTTCCTTTTATCACTGATAGTGTTAAAAGCTGTAAGTTTCATTCACTAACTGATCACAGTATATTGAGTTAAAACTGACATTTAGGCCCTTGTCTGTTCACAGAATCTATGTTTTACTTTTGTACACATTAGTTTTACCTGAATGTTCAGGTTAAATCCTACAGAACTGCCATATTGAATGTTTTAACTTTGCTATTTTACATTGCTCATTTACCTCACTGAATAGGGAGTTACATGTCATTTACAATTTTTACACTCCTATGCACAAATAATGCAGGTTGTGTCAGGGGCAGACGTCACATGGTCTGCATGTGCATTTTAAATTGTTTATTTAATAGTTTAATTCAAAATCTAAAATAGTAATAAAATGTAAAAACTTATAGGTAAATATGATGACACTGAGGGAGATCATGTTGTAAAAGGCAGAAATGTTGCTTCTGAAATTGAGTCCATCCATATTTATACAACTTGCTGTCTGACTTTTGTCACATCACCGCCGACCTCCCGCTGACCCACAGCACCCAATGGGACGAATAAAGGGAGCTTTGTTACATCTGAATCCACACAAGCACACATCAGCTGCATAATTTACACAAACACATTTATATGTGTTTTGTCTAAAAGTGCTGCATGTATCTGTTTACCTGTTTCTTTCACTACCTGTTCCCACCATGTCTAGGTTGTAGTAACGTGTTTGGTACATCCAGTTTTAGCTCTTTTTGAACTTAATTATTCTCTTCCTGTTGTGTCATAAGCTGTGAAAGAGAGCAAAACAAGATGTTTCCTGATTTCTTCAGTCAGATGAATTTGCAGAATTTATGTGGAAACTCATTGCTGTTATTTCTAAACATTTGTCTGTTTGAACTCTGTTAAATTATTCAATTGTAACTGCATGATTTCACATGTTGAATCATTGTTGAGGATTCTAGTTCACTCAGACTCTATCATCATTCTTTCAGGACTAAGAAAGCAGGTTTACTTTTCCATGTCCACAAAAATGTCCTAATTTTTTGGCAGTCTGGTCAGATGAGTAAACAAGCAGATCATGTTTGATTGTTCTTTAACAACATCAGATTAAAAGCACTGGATTAAAGGCTTTGTGATTTCTTTGCCCAGTAAATGGTTAAACCACTCTCATGGGTTATTTTGTACCTATATCACTTATACAGTCAGGTCCATATATATTTGGACACTGACACAATTTTCATAAATTTGGCTCTGTATGCCACCAGAATAGAATTCAAATTAAACAATCAAGATGAAATTGAAGTGCAGACTTTAAGCTTTAATTAAAGGGGCTGAACAAAAATATAACACAAAATGCTTAGGAATTACAACCATTTAGGGCTGGGTTTTGACACAAATTTCACGATTCTCATTCACAAGCTTTCGATTCGATTCGATTCAATTCAATATCGATTATTTTGGATATATATCAGGTACAGTACTTGCCAAATTTTCTCAAGAAAATAAAATCTCTCAACTAATGCTGTAAAATATACATGAGAGTCAGTTGGTACTACATTAGTATAATATTGAAGGTTAAAATTGACTGATTTGTAAGCTAACGTTATAGCCTACAACTGCTAAAATTACACTTAATTAAGTTTTTAAAACAATAAAGTTACAATTACATAATAATATTTCTACTTCAATTCATTTTTTTTTTATATATAAACATTTAAACGGTGGCTGTCATAAAAATTGATGGATTTATTCAAACATTAATTAAACATAAGAACAGTAAAAATGATCATGAATATGTTATATGGTGCATATATTTAGCAAAATACCCCTCTCTACAACTAGCCATTACTGATGTCTTTGCGCGGCTGAAACACAGATTGAGCGATTACATGAGACTCTTTTCTTTTAACTTACCTTCGGATGTTTAGTCATGTTTATTTTGTGCTGAAGCTGGTATTAATGTGGAGATGATTAGTTCACGTGCTCTAAGCGCTGCCGCGTCTGTTGAACTGCGCAACAGCGATCTGTCACTCCCTTGCATCATGGTACTGTCGTGAACCCGCGTCCACAAGATGAAATGTGTTGCCAGGTTTTTGTTTTTTTTGTAGTTCAGCACATTGGCCAGTCGAAGTTACTGAATGTAGATTTTCATCTTATTGAAGACATTTATTTCTTAAAAATTAAATTAAAGAACTGTTTTCATGTGTGTGTGTGTGTGTGTGTGTGTGTGTGTGTGTGTGTGTGTGTGTTTGCGTGTGTGTGTGTGTGTGTGT